GGGCCTGGGCCTTGGCCACACGGGAGCTGCTGCTTTGTCACCGTCCCTCCCATCCCCAGCCTCGTTCCAGCACCCACACTCTCGGTACGTAAGTTCTGCAGAAGCCCTCGGAGCTCTTCTGGCACAGAAAGGAGGGCCATGTCCTAGCTGGAGCCCAGTTCTGCAGGCCAGGGCCCCTGACTGGCCTTCCTGTAGGGCCCCCAGGACCTAGACTAGAATTCTTCTGTGTGCTCCACCCCGTTCGGGGATGAGTCTTTCGAGGAAAGTGGTCATTTGCTGACCAGTTTGTCTCCTGGGTAACTTTGAGTTTGTATCTGTCCTGTTTGTGGTCAGTCTAAAGGGGTAGATAAACTCCCAGTCCCCAGATAGACCGCGAGTGGAAAATATAACATGTTCTTCAGAGCATCCTGCTGAGCCCCGAGGAAATGGACCTCAAGCATGTGCAAAGTAGGGGGCTTAGGGGGTCTCTGGCCCTTGGTCCATCATCTCCTGCCCATTAAGTGCCTGTTCTGGGCCAGACACTAGGCTGTGACTTCCACATTCTGTGACCCTTGCAACAACCCTATGAGGTAGGTATTAGTGATGGATGAGGGACCGAACCAGATGCCTGCATCCACGTGTCCAGCAGATTGCAGAGCTGGGGTTGAACTTGGTGGTGACCCCCGCAGATGAGAGGCTTGGAGGCTGTAGCCTAGAGTAGTGTGTGGGCTGTAGCCCTGTTGAACAGCAGGCTCCCCAGAGCCCAGTGGTGAGCGTCCAACCCTGAGTGCCCCCTGGACCCACGGATGCTCTTTTTCTTTGTTGTGGGACCTGCTCGTCTGCAGGGGCCTCCAGAGTGGGGGCCAGCCAGCCAGGCACAGCCCGCCTCAGAGTCTGAGTAAACCTTGCCACTGGGAAGAACACTTCTCTCTTTGGCCCCCACTGCCCCCACCCGTTTTCACTTGTCTGCCACCTGCAGCCTCTGATTTATTGGTCAGGCCTTTTAATGCCTTAATTGGTTTCAACTAAGTTTCCTCTGAACCTCCAAGCTGTTTGATATAAATAGAGGGCACCAGCTTTCAGGGTGTGGGCCCCCTCCTCTGCCCCTCGGCTCTCCCAGGTCTAATTAAACCTATCTGTTGTCACCTAGCTAACGATATTACCGACACTGAGCCTTATTAAATCAGCAAGCCTGCCCACCTGCCGGGATAGAAGCTATTTCTCTTTATTAGATAACCATGCCTTCGTGAAGAACACGGCCATTTGCAGGCTAAATACTAGGGGCTGCACGTAGTTGAGGGAGGACTGCCACTCCCTGCTCTGTCATTCATTAGCTGTGTGACTGAGGGGTAAGTCACCTCGCTCCTCTGAGCCTCGGTGTCTCGGCTGCACAACCTGCAAAATCAGGAGTTGGGGCTTTGTAGTCTCTTGATTTTGCTTCAGCCTAACACGGGGTGAGCCCCGGCCTATGCCCTGCCGGGGGGGCCCCCTCGCCTTCCCCAGGTGACCAGGTCTTGCCAGCCCTCACCAGGTGCTTAGCAGCCCCGAGGCCTGGGAGGTCAGGACGGATGAGGCAAGACTGCACAATCAGCCGATCCGAGTAAATAGTACCCATGAGACCCAGAGTCTAGTGTTTCTCTGCCGCCTGTTCCAGAGAGGTTGAAAGGGTGATGCTGAGCCCTGTTGCCTTTCTGTTCAGGTCTTCCTTGGTTCTCTGGTTCACACCACGGCACCAAAGAGCTTCTTACGCATTATATACTATGAACACAAATGAATTGGGGGCATTGTAGTGGAGAAGGGCTCATCCATTCTGGCTTGCGTTCTACAGAAGGGGCTGATTCATCCACCAGAGACAGGCAGTTTGGCTCCGTCGGTTTTGGGTCCAGAGAGCCTGGCTGTTTCTCATGGTGACAGAGTCCTTCTGGCCCCTCGCGGATGTCTAATAAATACTTGTCAAATGAGCGAAGGGTGTTCGGGCTCCTTCCCTGGCATCATCTAGTGCCCAAATAAGAGGGAAGCTTTTGCCCTGACAACTCACAGGGTTGGGTGGTACCCCACAAACTTCAGAATCTGTGATAACCAGAGACCGGGTCTTGCCTTCCATGTATTTATTTTTGTTGTTAATTTTGGGATTAAATCAAAACTATTGGAAATTACTTAGACCCCGTGAAGAGTACCAGTTGCTTTCAAAGATTTTGGAAACCCCATTTACGTGGGGACAGTCAGGGGGTCCTCATCAGTCCCAGGTGGGCCCCAAAGGCTCCAGGCTCTGGCGAGGTGTGCTAAGCTCAGCGGGGAGGTAAACCTCCGTATTTCTCTGCCTCCCACTGGTTCCAAACCACAGGAAATGGTCAACAGATGCAGTCTTCTCTTGAGGAAAGGGCAAGTCATGAGCAAGGTGGTCCGTGTCAGGGATTTAGTCCAAAAAGCCACTTCTCAATTAAGTTGTAGTGTCCAAACATGGCCGTGGACTCCTTTGCCTGGGTGGCAGTGATTCTTTAGGGTGAGAAGTGACAGGGACTTGACAAGTGTCTACTGAGTGCCCAGGTCCCTGTTAAGACTTCCTGCCTCCAAGTCCATCAGGGTTCCAACCCCGCCCTTGCTGAAGGAGCCAGGATTTCAAGAAAATAGCTGAGGAAGGGTTTTCTGGCTTAATTTAACCAGAAAATTATTTTTGTTAAATGTTTGTTTTTGCGAGAGAGACAGAGATAGAGCATGAGCGGGGAGGGGCAGAGAGAGTGGGAGACAGAATCTGAAGGAGGCTCCAGGCTCCGAGCTCTCAGCACAGAGCCCGATGTGGGGTTTGAACCCATGAACTGTGAGATCATGACCTGGGCCAAAGTTGGATGCTCAACCAACTGAGCCACCCAGGCACCTCTAACCAGAAAATTAAATCCAGCTTTCCTCCTTCCTCCAGCTTTTAGGAGCAGGGAGGTTCTTGTTTACTCCTGGGTTGTAGAACTTTGAACAGCGGCTTCCCAGTAGCAGGTGCTCTGGGGCTCAAGGGACCAGTCTGGGGGAAGTGGGGGTCCAGGAGAGCAGTCGCTCTGGGCTGCACCAGCGGGGAGCAGGCTAATGCCCCGCGGCCTCTCTTCTCCACCCCCCTAGGCAACAGTGCGTTCAAGTCTCCTGATGCGTTCAAAGTGTCCCTCCCCCTCCGCACAAACTACCTGTACGGCAAGATCAAGAAGACGCTGCCTGAACTGTATGCCTTCACCATCTGCCTGTGGCTGCGATCTAGCGCCTTGCCGGGCATCGGCACCCCGTTTTCTTACGCGGTGCCTGGGCAGGCCAATGAGATTGTGCTGATCGAGTGGGGTAACAACCCCATTGAGCTGCTCATCAACGACAAGGTGAGGCCTGCTTAGACTGCCACCTTCCCCCATCACGGCAACGGTCAGGGTGCTGCAGAGTCTGACAGCCAGCTGCTGTAGGGCTGCCCTCCTTGGAATGGTGACAGACTCAGCCCGGCCTAGGGCAGCAGGGGTGGGCGGCTATGGCTGGTGGAGATCCAAGGTGGGAGTCTGGCCTAGAAGCATCTCAGGGTCCAGGCCAGAGGTCATCGAAGGAACAGAGCTGAGGTCTCTGTGGGCCAGCCTGAATCGTCACTGGCCCTTGGGCCAGTCAGTGAGGGCTGTTCTCCAGGGCCATGCTGATTAGGGGAGGGGGAGTGTGTGTGTGTCTTTCTCTGTGGAGGATACTTCTCAGCATATCTTTTGGGGGTGGTTTATTGAGATATAATTTACATACAGTAAGACCGAGAGTTTTTAGCATACAGTTTGACCAATTTCTACAAATGCATGCAGTTGTGTGACCGCAAGTAAAATATGAAAGCGTTCCATCAGTCCCCCCTCTCCACACACAATTTCCTCATTCCCCTGCGTAGTTAGCTTCTGCCTCTACCCTAGCCCATGGCAACCACTGATCTGTTCTCTGCCCCTATAGTATTGCCTTTTGTAGAGTAAATATCCTTTTTTAATAGACGGGCTGGTTTCATCGTTCAAGAGCATGATCTCCTCGAGAACTTGGCTCTGGGCATCTGTGAGACCTCTAGGAGCCCCACTTAAACTTCCATTCTGAAGGCAGACTCAACATAGCCAAAAATGTGTCCTCACATCCTTGCTGGAGCTGAGCACTTGAATGGCCTCTCCGGCTCCCTGCTGCCTCTACCCTGGCCCCTTACCCTGCTTTTATTACTGAACTGCCCTGGGTGGGGTTTGTGTAAGTGGGAAATGGCGTGGAATCTCCCTGCCAGGCTCCGTCTCACGGTGACCATGTTCCTGAGCCAGGGATTAATTGTTCTAAATAACTGTCTTGGACACAGGAGGGCCCAGAACCTTGTTTTCCTTTTGGGTTCGGTGGCATGTAAACAGCCAATTCCCAGGAGGAAGCGCCAGGTTGCTAGGATACCAGCAGTAACAACAGGACAGTTCCTGGTTGGGCTGGTCTGTGGTGCTCACAGGATGCTCGCAGGCGACCACGTGGGTCAGAAATGCCCTTCCCCTGGTTCTGTATGGGGGTCTGAATGTGCAACCTCCCACCCCCCCCAGCACACTCTCCCACGTAATTGTAGGCCTTTGGTTTTCTGCACAGGAGGACACACACAGTCCCCAAGTGCCGTGATAGAATTTGAGACCCTGCCTCGAGTGTAGATGTCTAGTCTGATTGTTTTCCAAAGATTCCTTCAGGTTCTTCAGCACGAGGCATTCGGGCCGAGTGTGGCCAGGCGGGGGCTCATTCTTCACATCTGCTTGGTCTGCACAGTGTCCCAGATTCTCAGCCAAGCCACGGACTGAGGGTGTCCAGTTGCAAGCCGGGCCACCGTGGGGTTAGGGGCATGTCCCCAGGCTGTCTCTTTCCTCTTGAGTGTCTGTGTTTCGCGCACACACACAGACCGAGGCCCTGTTTCCCACATAGCAGAGAAGGGGTAACCAGCTGGGAGCAACACGATCTCTGGTCCCTGTGCGCCCCCCATGGGGGGCCCTCACCTGCATGTTGCTGCCTACAGGTTGCACAGCTGCCCCTGTTCGTCAGTGACGGCAAGTGGCACCACATCTGTATCACTTGGACGACACGGGATGGCATGTGGGAAGCTTTCCAGGATGGAGAGAAACTCGGCACGGGGGAGAACCTGGCCCCCTGGCACCCTATCAAGCCAGGGGGGGTGCTGATCCTTGGGCAAGAACAGGTAGGTGCAGGGGATGCAGGATGGGGTGTGCTGGCCAGCCACGCGTCACGAGGCCACGCCTGTAGGCTGCCCCCTACCCCCACAGCCCGCCCAGCTGTCAGCCTGCCACACCTGGCCACTGTGGTGTGATGGCCACCTGGGTCCATTCTGTCTTGTGGCCTGAGGGGCCGGGGGCGGGGGGACCCGGTTGTGGTATGATGGGTCCAGATAGATTCCAGAATGGAGTCCACCGTAGGTGGGCAGGAGTGTCCCTGAGCTCATGCTGCCATGGAGTGACCATGGGTTCTCTCTCTAGGCGTTTGACCTCTGCTGGGCACAGCACTGATTCAGGGTGCCCGGGGCTGATATGGCATCTTCCGGGAGCTGCTGGCTCAATGTCGTGGGGCATGCCTGTGTGATGCTCAGCCCCTTGGGGGAGCTAGGGGTGGGAACGTGACCGCAGAGGCTGTCCTCACTCCCTGAGACAGAGGAAATCTAAGTTGCTTGTCTGCTCTTGGGCAGATAAGAGTTGACGTTTGGGTCTGTGTTTGAGGTTTGCTGAAAGCCAGGGAGTAGAGACCAGTTCCTTTGAGAGCTTTGAGTCTGGGCCCATCCTTGGCCCACTCCCTGCCTCACTACCCTGTGACTTCCCCGCTGGGAAGGGCTGGGAGTCTGGAGACCCGGGTCTAGTGTTAGCTTTGGGACTTTGGGCCAGTGTCTTTCCACTGTAGCCTCGGGGTAGTTTGGCATGTCCTAGAGGTCTGGAACGTGCAGGAATCGGGTCAGGGAAGGAGTGAGGTCAGAGTTGGGGGAATCAGGAAAATGCTTCAGTCTCCCCCTCTCCCTCCTCACTGTGCACCCCTTCCCAAGGCCATTACATCCCTGGAGATTTAGTGGGCACGTTTGCTTTCTGAACCTGTGCCGATGTGGTTCTGTTCCCCCCCCTTCCCAGGACACTGTTGGGGGCAGGTTCGACGCCACACAGGCATTTGTGGGGGAGCTCAGCCAGTTCAACATATGGGACCGTGTCCTTCGCGCACAAGAAATTGTCAACATCGCCAACTGCTCCACAAACATGCCAGGCAACATCATACCCTGGGTGGACAACAACGTTGATGTGTTTGGAGGGGCTTCAAAGTGGCCCGTGGAGACCTGTGAGGAGCGTCTCCTTGACTTGTAGCTACCTTCTCCTCTGTCTAGGGGCCTGGGGCTGGTGTCTCCTGTCGGAAGTGCAAGGCCACCTGCTCCCCCAATTAAACTGTGTATAGAGCCCCTGCCACAGTGGCCTGGGGCCCCCAAAGCTTGTTCCCAGGGAATCTCTAAGACTGAGGCTCTGTGGCAGCACCTGTCACTGGATTCTTTGTTCCTTCCCAAGATTTTGTTGTGTCGAGTAGGGAAGAGGCCCTGAGTTGCAGGTGGGAAGATACCTGACTTCCTGCTGGGGGTGGGGGGGATCAAGGTCTTCGGGGCCCTGTTCAGAGCCCCTACAGTTGCTAGTGAATCACAGCCTTGCCCACCCTCCCGGATCCTTGGTGTCTCACGTGCGCCTCTTGTCTGTCCCCTTTCGAGGCCGTGTGGCCATCCCACCTGAGTATCTGTGTCCCTTATGTATCGAGTGTATCCTGCTGTCCGCTGAGCACGCAGCAAAGCAGCCCCCACCACCCGCGGAAGGGCTTTCTCTTGGTGTTCTTTCCGCTGTAAGGAACCCTTGAGCTTGAGGAAGGCAGGCTGCCCAGACAATGCCCTGCCTTCTCCAAGGTGGAGGGGGCATCACTGCCTCTAGAGGGGGCTGGGAGCTGGAACTCAGAAGGGCGTTCTGGAGAAGGGCCGCGGCAGCCTTCCATCCCCTTCTGTCACCTCTCCCTCCGACGATGCTTTGATGGGATCATCGCTGGGAATGGCTTCTCTGAAAAGCCTCTTCACTCCTCTGGTGCCAAACGTTCAGTTGCAGCTTCTACAACCATCCGGTGTGGTCAGGGGGATTTCATTTTTTTTCCTAACAGAAAAGAACAGCCATTATTAGCAGGCTCCCATTTTTGATGTTTCGCCCCACTGTGAGGAATGTGCTAGTTTTCATTCACGTTGATTGCTATAAGCTGTGGACTGTCTCAAGGATTTCCCCCAGAACTTCTTCAGGAAAAGGAAGTCATTCGGCCGATAGTTGCTTAGTGACTCCAGGCTGCTTAATTTATTGGACAGAGGATAGTAATTTATTTTAAGGACAAAGTGGTAAAGTGGGGGAAATTTATAAAGTTAAATATTATATATTTTATTTTTCATACATGTTTCAAGTGCGAATTGTGGAAATTCCATTTGTAGGACCAAGCTGACATGCCCATCCCAACATTGTATGCTATGAGAACTCTTCGGATGATGGAATTCTGATTAAAGTGCACTGGAAGATGCCTCCGTGTCTGTTTGCTCCAGGTCTGGGGCTGAGGGTGGGGGTGGGGCTTTGCCACAGTCGGCACGTCCGGGGCCTGTGTGTCTGTCGGACCTGGGGGTGCCGAGGTGCAGCACTGACCCCTTCCCTCCTCGGTGCCAGGCGCGGACTGCGGACGCCCCACGGGCTCTGCCCTGCCTCCCCGCCTCCAGCCAGCCCCCGTTCTCTCAACCAGGAATCGAGCTTACCTAGAGGTCACTGAGCAGCCCGTCCCAGGCATGACCCCTGCTCACCACCCACTCTGTGTGTGTTCCCAGATGTCTCGCTTACCCCTCCTAACGACCCCCTGAAAGTGAATCCCGATCGTAGGTGACTACGTGGAACAGTTGAACGGTGACTTGGGTCACACGGCTGGTTAAGGGCAGAGCTGGGGGTCAAGCAGTCCTGAGACCCTGGAGGCCCTGCCCCTGCCATGATTACCCTCGCGATGGCGTGGCTGACCGGGAGCCGTGGCTCGCCCAGCCACCCAGCATCACGAGTATCGTGTACTGCTTATCGCTCGCCCAGGAAGAATCAAATATCAAAACTCGAAACCGTTTCTACTGAACGTGTGTTGCTTTCATGCCATTGTGAAGTCAAAAACTTGTGAGTCAGGGACCATCTGTACACTGAAAAACTACAGAACACGATTATTTTTTTCTTTTTTTTTGATAGAAAATTATAGAGGGAAATCAAAGAGAATCTAAATACATGAAAATGTATCTGTGTTTATAGATCAGAACTAATATTGTCAAGATTGCCATTGTGGACACGTGGTGGGAAAAATTTGGTTCAGATGTCAAGTCTGATGACACTCACATACCCCTGAGAGGGCACGAAAAGGTTTATTAGATCATGAGACTAATAACCAAATGGGGGGGATCATGGTGATACCCACATGGGTCCGAAAATGGCTTGAGAGAACAGAGAAAACAACTGGCTTGGTTTTTTTATGGTGGTTAGTGGGTAGCGCCGGAGCGATGATTCTTCCGTGTAGTTCACACACCTCACTGGTGTCAAAGGAGGAGGAATTTAGGCTCTCCTGTTACTTGTCCAGATGTGGGGAAAGAGGGAGAAGTGAGGCTTAAGCGCTGTCAGCAGTCAAACATCAAAAAGTGTAGACAGACGTGATTACAGCACACCTCAGATGTTCGATGCCTGAAATGCACCATGTTGCATTTAATTAGATTTGAACTTCTGTAAGTCGTCATGAGGTCTGTAGCTTGAGGCTGGTAAGAATTCTGGAGGTAAGAGTCCTGTCGAATGCCTGTTTGGGGGCCCAGAATTGTGTATCTTGAGAGGTGCGGTGAGTATCTCGACCCCTGTCAATAATATCTAGAACTGTGTAGGAGAGCAGTATCTTGGTGAGGTCTTGCATTGTGGCTTTCATAAGTAGAGAGACTCGTGTGATCTTGATTTATATTTTGGGTGTCTGTGGGACAGGACATTCCCAGAGTTCTTTACCCCCAAAGGGGCAACCTGGTTCAAGAATCTAAAGATGTACAGATGGGTCAGTTGTTGGCCAGGGCCGCTAGTGCTAAGATTACTCTCTGAAGTTTGGCCAGTTGTGCTGAACCTTGGGTCCTACTATCCTTCAGGAACATCCTGGGTGAGGGATAAAAAACATTAACTCCCCGAGGAACACTAGCAGGTGTCATGGTGGTAATGCCATCTGAAAAATGTGAGGACTCCCTTTGCTGTTTCCTTAGCTGATGGCAAGGGGCTCCTCAGATAGCCAAGGGGTCTGGAAGCAGGGTGACGTCCTCCAGCACCAAGGCATCTGGCAGGGGACTGAGGACAAGGAAGGCCACCCTCTGCTGCAGATGAGCTATGCCAGAGGGTCCAAGATTAGCTCTGTTATGTAGCAAAAAGGCCTTGGTGACTGTGCTGAGCTTGCTGCTGGGATGTTGGCTTTCATGGCCCAAGACATATGGACAGCTGGGCATGGGAGGCCTCAGGCCAGGGCCTGTGACAGTGACTGTTTCCAGAATCACATAGTATGCAACTAGCAATTGCTGCTCTAATGGCATGTAGCATGAGGCCAAGGAATCTCTTGTATTAGAAGCCCATGAGTAACTTAGAGTGGTCCACAGGCTCTGGGAGGCGTGAGAGGGGATTGCTGAAGCCTCTGTAGTGAAGCACCCTCTGGGGGCACTGTTGCGAATGCTCGTTGCATTGCAATCCGGACAGATTCTAGAGCCTTTTATTGTGGGGGCCCCACTTGAGGTGGGCGATTTGCAAGTAACAGCACAAGTGAGCTTAATAAAGTCTGTAAATGCAGATCGCACTGCTTCCAGAACCCAAGAAAGTCCTAGAAGAGGTTAGGCTTGTTTTAATGTTGAGGATACGGAGAGACAATAGCCATTTTTTGGCAATGTCCGAGATGGGATGGCCTTCAGTTTACCAAACAGTTATTAGGAATTTAACCGAGGTTTAGGGGTCTTGCAGTGAGAGCAGGACAATGATCTGCTATAATTGCATCAAGATACAGGATTCAGTCTGAGACACACAGATAAGTGTGGGCCAAGGCATATGACCCAGGGCCACTTTAAGGAGAGAACCAACCCCACGTTCCTGTCTAAAATGCCACTTACCTAAACTTCTGATGCGAGTCAGTTAAATCCGTAACAGTGACTCCCAAGCTGGTGTGCAGTTGGCTTGAGGACAGGGAAAGGACACTGGCTTGGGGTTTTTACAATGGTTAGAGGGTGGGACTGGGGTGAGGTGTCCATGTATAGTTTGAACTTCTCACCTGCACCAAGGGAGAGAGCACCTGGGCTCTCTCATCAGTTTGCCCAGGTGTGGGGCAGAGAGGAAGAGGGAGGGAAAGGCAGACATCAAAAAATGGAGTCAGAGGATTTCCTTGCAATGACAGTACCTGCCAACTGGATGGGCAGATTTAACACCATCCCCATTAAAAACCAACTTGACTTTTTCCAGAAATTGGCAGGCCAATCCCAATCCCAATCCCAATCCCAGGTGTCTCAGTCAGTTAAGCGTCTGACTTCAACTCAGGTCATGATCTCATGGTTCGTGAGTTTGAGCCCTGAGTCGGGCTCTGTGCTGACAGCTCAGAGCCTGGAGCCTGCTTCTGACTCTGTGTCTCCTGTCTCTCTCTCTACCCCCGCTCACACTCTGTCTCTCTCTCTCTCTCTCTCAAAAATACATAAACGTTAAAAAAAAATGCAAGAGACCCAGAATAGCCAAAACAATATTGAAAAGAAAACAAAAGTTGGAAGACTCCTACTTGATTTCAAAACTGACTACAAAGCTATAGTAACAAGACTGTATGGTCCTGGCTTAGGGACAGATGTATGGTTTAATGGAAGGGTTTCAGACTCCAGAAATAAACCTATACTTTTATGGTCAGTTGATTTTTGACAGAAATGCCACGACCAGTCAGTGGGGGAAGAAGAGTCTTTTCAACAAATCCTGCTGGGATAGCTAGATATCCACATGGGGGGAAAAATGAAGCTGGATTTCTGCCTCACGCCATAATATAAAAATTAATTCAAAATAGATGAAAGACCCTACATTTAAGAATTAGAACTATAGGGGTGCCTGGGTGGCTCAGTCGGTTGGGCGTCCACCTTTGGCTCAGGTCATGATCTGGTGGTTTGTGAGTTAGAGCCCCACGTCGGGCTCTGTGCTGACAGCTCAGAGCCTGGGGTCTGCTTCAGATTCTGTGTCTTATACGCTGTCTGCCCCTCCCCCATTTGTGCTCTCTCAAAAATAAGTGTGAAAAGAGAAGATTTAGA